ACGGTAGCTCCGCCCACCGCGCATCACACCCAGCAAAGATGCTTCAGCGGCGCGTCAGAACTAAGCTTGTACAACCATCAAAAACGAAGTAGCACACACGTTTTCGCTGCCTCTGCTACTTGCCGTCTGAACGTTTCTTTCTTGTTATTTAAAACAATAAAATGACTGACCTCTCATACCAGTTAAAGCAACAGATAATAAATGTTTAAGCATCAGGTTTGGAATGAGGTGAGTGGAACGAGATGTGAATGTTAGTGGATCACAGGGGTCTGCGGTGAAACCCTGAGTTAGCCAACAGGTTCATCCTCCCTCTGTGTGACGACCGAAGGCCCAGCGACCCCCATCCTTCCTCACGCTAATCCCATCATTTACTGGTTCTCTACTGAGGTGGAAAGTTTGCACTGCAGACGAAATGCTCTGCGTGCGATCAAGAAGTCTCCATGCTTTGCCTCTCCGGGGCAGCGGAGGTCTTCCAAACGCTTGTCTGCTTCGGCGGGTCGAAGGGGAAATAACATCCGGCTGCGACCCAGAGCAGAAATCCTCATGAACTGGAGCGCAGCTGCGCTAACACACATCCCAAGGCCTCCAGTGAGTCGGATGGTATTAATAGAGCAGAACCAGCAGGTGCTGCCACTGCTTCTACGGCTCAAAGCCAATTACCCAACCCTGCAGGTCCACCTGCAGACGCACACATGCAGCAGGAGTTCATCCAGGGAGCTCCACCACCTTCTTTCCTCCTGTCACCTTCACTGTTCAGGAGGAAAACTCCTATTCCTCACACACTCAGCTATGACAGTAACGTTATCAGGTCATGCTGCGGCCATGAGACGGTCTCACCCCCTGAAGACCATAAGGACGAGGTCGTCAATCAGTTGAGACAGTCCACCATCCCTGACTGTTTATTTCCATCAGCTTCTAAAGGCCACCGGGCCATCCGAGGGTCCGACTGTGGCCCCCCAACCTTCTTTAAAGGGCCACAGTACCCATCCTCCAGGACAGAGCAGCTGTTTATTCACACATTTCTCTTAAAAAGTTGTTAGCTTTGACATGTGATGAAGGTTTGGTCCACAGACGAGAGTTTAAAGGTCCAAGGAGGTTTTTCTGAGCAGCTCAGTTTGGTCCTGGTTTTAGTTCAGCATCGTTTAGTCGTGTTTGGTTAAAGCACAACAACAAGAGAGTAGAAAAGTTAGTTTGTTAAAAAAGAAGAACACATTTACACACAGATCCTTCCCACAAATAGTACATCACACCTGAGTCCTAGGATTATGAGAATAAAGTCGTAATATTTTGAGAATAAAGTCATAATATTACGAAAGTGAAGTTAAAAATTTACAAGAACCAAGTCATCATACCAGTTTCAATAAGAAAGCTCCGACCAGAACAACCAAACAGCAACCTGAGTGCGCTTTGTCTGAGACATGCTGATAATAATCTGATGCTAAAAGACTTAATATTCCCTTATTTGAAAAACCGATGCCAAAGTATAACTTCACAAGATGCTTTTCATTCCTAATTTAAGAGAAGACAGAGCTTCTTTTAGACTTTATTCCCGTAATGTTACTATTTTATTCTCGTAATATTGTTACTTTATTCTGGTAAATTTAGACTTTATTCCCGTAATGTTACTATTTTATTCTCGTAATATTGTTACTTTATTCTGGTAAATTTAGACTTTATTCCCGTAATGTTACTATTTTATTCTCGTAATATTGTTACTTTATTCTGGTAAATTTAGACTTTATTCCCGTAATGTTACTATTTTATTCTCGTAATATTGTTACTTTATTCTGGTAAATTTAGACTTTATTCCCGTAATGTTACTATTTTATTCTCGTAATATTGTTACTTTATTCTGGTAAATTTAGACTTTATTCTCGTAATGTTACTATTTTATTCTCGTAATATTGTTACTTTATTCTGGTAAATTTAGACTTTATTCTCGTAATGTTACTATTTTATTCTCGTAATATTGTGACTTTATTCTGGTAAATTTAGACTTTATTCCCGTAATTTTACTATTTTATTCTCGTAATATTGTGACTTTATTCTCGTAAATTTAGACTTTATTCTCGTAATGTTACTATTTTATTCTCGTAATATTGTGACTTTATTCTCGTAAATTTAGACTTTATTCTCGTAATGTTACTATTTCATTGTCGTAATATTGTTACTTTATTCTGGTAAATTTAGACTTTATTCTCATAATGTTACTATTTTATTCTTGAAATATTTTTATTTTATTCGTGTAAATTTAAACTTTATTCTCGTAATATTACTATTTCATTCTCGTAAATTTAGACTTTATTCCCGTAATGTTACTATTTTATTCTCGTAATATTTTTACTTTATTCGCGTAAATTTAAGCTTTATTCCCGTAATGTTACTATTTCATTCTCGTAATATTTTTACTTTATTCGCGTAAATTTAAACTTTATTCTCGTAATGTTAGTATTTCATTCACGTAATATTGATACTTTATTCTGGTAAATTTAGACTTTATTCTCATAATGTTACTATTTTATTCTTGTAATATTTTTATTTTATTCGCGTAAATTTAAACTTTATTCTCGTAATGTTACTATTTCATTCTCGTAATATTGTTACTTTATTCTGGTAAATTTAGACTTTATTCTCATAATGTTACCATTTCATTCTTGGAATATTTTTACTTTATTTTCGTAAATTTAGACTTTATTCTCGTAATGTTACTATTTTATTCTCGTAATATTGTTACTTTATTCTCGTAAATTTAGACTTTATTCTCACAATGTTACCATTTCATTCTCGTAATATTGATACTTTATTCTCCTAAATTTAGACTTTATTCTCGTAATGTTACTATTTTATTGTCGGAATATTTTTACTTTATTTTCATAAATTTAGACTTTATTCCCGTAATGTTAATATTTAATTCTCTGAATATTTTTACTTTATTTTCGTAAATTTAGACTTTATTCCTGTAATGTTACCATTCATTCTCGTAATATTGTAACTTTATTCTCCTAAATTTAGACTTTATTCACATAATGTTACTATTTTTTTCTCAAAATAATTTTACTTTCCTTTATGACATCAGACCTGAGTGAAGGTCCCCCCCACCCTTCATCATGTCAAACAGAAACGATGTCAATCAATTCGGCTCCATTTAAAGTTATCAACCGGTCGTGCTGGCGATACGGATCCGTACCGACGTTCTGTCAGACCAGCATACCTACAGTCAATACCCGTTTATCCCTTTATTTTTGTAGGAAAATACACTTTAAACTACCTAAACTGGCGTGTATCCCTTAAGTCATGTACAAAAAAACAGTCTAATTCCTTACTTTTTGGTGTTTTTTTTTAAGCGTGTGGCGATCTAACCTTAAATTGTTTTTTATGTACAAAGCTAAAGAGATCCGTATTGACTATAGGTATGCTGGTCTGACACGATTCGCTCCATCTACTGCAGATGTTTAACCCTTTATAGGGCACTCAGTGGAATACTTAATATAAACGGCTAACCATAGATACTTCCGGCTCAGCAGTGTAATATAATCAGGACTTCTTTTAATCCTCACATTATTAAAGCTTAGCGGACTCCATCGTTCACAGCCTTAATAACTTTTCTGATGCGTTTCCATTTTTTCTTTTCTTTAGCTTGTCTGATGTCACGGTGGGACACCTTCAGAGCAGTCCACTGAAATCTGACTGCACCCTGTCTATCTGTGTTTTAGTCCAGGTCGTTATATTATGCATCAGGTATTAAGAAATACAAACATAGAACCAAACTACAACTATTTAAATTTCTGGAACAGATCAGACGCAGACGAGGGATTTAACAGAGAGATGTAAACACATTAATCCCCTCAGAAGAACCGTTATTTACCTTTTGCACAACGACGTTCAAAAGGCTTTTAATAATTAGTGATAGAAATAAATGAGTCACAGTCAATAGCGGACGTCTGGTTGCAGAATGAGGAGGAGGGGAGGGGGGACTCCGCTCAGGTCTACATCAGATCAGGTCTACCGACTCGTCTCTCTGACTGCCGCTCCATATCTTCCGCTTCCTGAAGCGGTCTGCAGATTCTTTCAGATTCTGTCAGTCAATCTAAGAATTCATCTCTGAATTACATGTTCATAGCGGGTCATTCATGGTGCCTTGCAAATGTATGCATTGATTTTCTGTTAATCCCTTAAACTTAACTCGCCATCTGAGTGGAAACACACAGTAGTGGTGGCATCATGCAGGAGGGAAGTCTTTTGTTGCGATAGCAGGGAAGCCGGTCAAAGTTGATGTGAAGATGGATGGAGCCAGAGCTAAATTGACTAGTTATGATCAGTCCAGACCTAAATCCAACAGATTCTGCTTCCAGCCATTCATCATACAGCATCTACCTTCAGTCTGACTGAGCCGGACGGATTTTCCAAACAAATATTGACAGTAATTTTAGTCTAGATGTTCGAAGCTTGAAGGGAAATGTGATTCTATGATGAAAAGAAAGAAAAACGAGACCTTCTCATTCATTGGTTGATCTAAATATGCTGTTTAGACAAAGGCAATAACAGCTGAAATGGTTTAAGATGCGGTGCCACCGTAGCGACCAAAGCAGCTTTTAGTTGTTCCATGTTTTCATTTCTGTCACATAGAAGTTATGATTTTATTAAAGAAAAATTGGTCTAATACTTTGATTTTTTTCAGAGTGAAATTTGTTCCATTATTGTTTTGACAAAGAACAAATTTTGTACAGGGAGGAAATTTGAAAATCTGGAGATCAAACTTTGAAGAAATTCTAAATATTTTTTCTTATTTTATACTTTAACATTTTTTTTTTCAAACTTTTTTTCCTTTAAAGGATTTTATTTTTTCAGTTTTTCTCTATTCCTGTGTATCACGCTGACTTTTACAAACTGCATCCATTTCAAATCACAGATCAACTTTTCTTCAATAAAATCTGTAAAAAAAAAAATAGAAAAACAATAAAATAGGAAATTAGAAAAACAAATCTGAGAAAACATGTCTGTATTGCATTTTCTACTTTCAAAATCTTTTTTTTTTTTTTTTTGCAATAATAATGGAACAAAATTCTCTCTGTAGTTTGTCTCCATGACTTCCTGCTGCTTTGAGTGTCGCATTAAATCCCTATAAAACGACACGCTGAGGATGAATTCAACATGAGAAAATGTGGATATTTTACTGGGGTATGAATACTTTTGCAAGGCACTGCAAACCTGAAGCTCCTCTTGAATCCAAACCTTCTCCTTAGCTATAAAGACGCCGCCACCTTCCACAGAACAGAGTTCAGTCGTTCAGCTGTTGTTTTTTTTCTGTTACCTGCAGCTACATCTGAAGCAGAGGAACTTGTGAGGGAAGGATTTTAGAAAGACTTCGGTTTGTTCACAACACAGAGGAACGTCCAGGAAGCGGCTGAAATGCTGAGGCCACTCTACATTCATTTCCTTCTGTTGCATGGAGTCAGCGATGGCCACAGACTAATCCACCAGAGTTCAGGATCTTCTGTTCCTGCTGCAGACATTCATGAGTCTCTGCTGGCTGTACCATCATCACCACAATAAGGCTTCAGTCTCGTCGCTGCTTAAAGGGATACGCTGCCGAAATGACCCCCACCACTCTCCCCTCTTTAGATTTCGGATGGGGGGTCAGACGCGCCCGTTGCCGTGCGTGCTGCCCCGCCGGCCCGACGCGTGTTGGGAGGAGTAGTGGAGCTCCGCGGTGGAGAAGCTGTTGGAGGAGTTGGAGGGAGAGGGGGTGAGGCCGCAGGCTTCGCAGGCCAGAGCCAGCTGCCGCAGGGTGTCCAGGGAGTCCATCTTAGCTCCGCGTAACAGGTCACTCTGCCCCTGAAACAAACACCCACAAACATCTGTCACATTTTCACGCAAACCTAAATAGGGACTTTTTTTTTCTTTTTTTGTTTTTTTATTCATTTTGATATTGACTTTTTTTCCTGCTAACCACGAACATAAACACGTTTGGCTCCTGGATTTCATAATTTTCATGGATCATTTGTGGATATCTACTCGCATGTTTGGATCTTATGACAGAATATAAGGACCAGGCTGGAGATTTATCCTTTTTTTAAAATATCAGAATAAAGTTAAAGATAAAAGATAAAATTATGAGAACAATGTCAAATTATAAAGTCAAAATATTATGAGAATAAAGTCATAATATTATGAGAATAAAGTCATAATATTATGAAAATAAAGTCATAACATTTTGAGAATAAAGTCAAATATTTTGAGAATAAAGTCTTAATATTATGAGAATAAAGTAAAAAATGTTGAGATTAAAATCATAATATTTTGAGAATAATGTAGTAATATTATGAAAAAAAGTCATAACATTTTGAGAATAAAGTCTTAATATTTTGAGCATAAAATCATACTATGAAAATAAAGGCATAACATTTTGAGAATTTAATCATAATATTACGAAAATTAAGTTGAAAATTTACAAGAATGAAGTCATCGTACCAGTTTCAGAAAGAAAGCTCCGACCAGAACAGCCAAACAGCAACCTGAGTGCACTTTGTCTCAGACATGCTGATAATGATTTGATGCTAAAAGACTTAATATTTCCTTATTTGTAAAACCGATGCCAAAGTATAACTTCACAAGATGCTCGACATTCCTAATTTTAGAGAAGACAGAGCTTCTTTTAAGTTTTCATGGATTTTATTCTCGTAATGTTACTATTTTATTCTCGCAGTATTATAAATTTATTCTTGTAAATTTAGACTTCACTCTCGTAATGTTACTATTTTATTCTCGTAATGTTACAATTTTATTCTCGTAAATTTAGACTTCACTCTCGTAATGTTACTATTTTATTCTCGTAATGTTACTATTTTATTCTCGTAAATTTAGACTTCACTCTCATAATGTTACTATTTTATTCTCGTAATGTTACTATTTTATTCTCGTAATGTTACTATTTTATTCTCGTAATGTTACTATTTTATTCTCGTAAATTTAGACTTCACTCTCATAATGTTATTATTTTATTCTCGTAATGTAACTATTTTATTCTCGTAAATTTAGACTTCACTCTCGTAATGTTACTATTTCATTCTCGTAATATTGTTACTTTATTCTGGTAAATTTAGACTTTATTCCCGTAATGTTACTATTTTATTCTCGTAAATTTAGACTTCACTCTCATAATGTTATTATTTTATTCTCGTAATGTAACTATTTTATTCTCGTAAATTTAGACTTCACTCTCGTAATGTTACTATTTCATTCTCGTAATATTGTTACTTTATTCTGGTAAATTTAGACTTTATTCTCGTAATGTTACTATTTTATTCTCACCGTATTATAAATTTATTCTTGTAAATTTAGACTTCACTCTCGTAATGTTACTATTTTATTCTCGTAAATTTAGACTTCACTCTCGTAATGTTACTATTTTATTCTCGTAATGTTACTATTTTATTCTCGTAATGTTACTATTTTATTCTCATAAATTTAGACTTCACTCTCGTAATGTTACTATTTCATTCTCGTAATATTGTTACTTTATTCTGGTAAATTTAGACTTTATTCCCGTAATGTTACTATTTTATTCTCACCGTATTATAAATTTATTCTTGTAAATTTAGACTTCACTCTCGTAATGTTACTATTTTATTCTCGTAAATTTAGACTTCACTCTCGTAATGTTACTATTTCATTCTCGTAATATTGTTACTTTATTCTGGTAAATTTAGACTTTATTCTCGTAATGTTACTATTTTATTCTCACCGTCTTATAAATTTATTCTTGTAAATTTAGACTTCACTCTCGTAATGTTACTATTTTATTCTCATAAATTTAGACTTCACTCTCGTAATGTTACTATTTTATTCTCGTAATGTTACTATTTTATTCTCGTAAATTTAGACTTCACTCTCGTAATGTTACTATTTTATTCTCGTAATGTTACTATTTTATTCTCGTAAATTTAGACTTCACTCTCGTAATGTTACTATTTTATTCTCGTAATGTTACTATTTTATTCTCGTAAATTTAGACTTCACTCTCGTAATGTTACTATTTTATTCTCATAATGTTACTATTTTATTCTCGTAAATTTAAACTTCACTCTCGTAATGTTACTATTTTATTCTCGTAATGTTACTATGTTATTCTCGTAATGTTACTATTTTATTCTCATAATGTTACTATTTTATTCTCGTAATGTTACTATTTTATTCTCGTAAATTTAGACTTCACTCTCGTAATGTTACTATTTTATTCTCGTAATGTTACTATTTTATTCTCGTAAATTTAAACTTCACTCTCGTAATGTTACTATTTTATTCTCGTAATGTTACTATTTTATTCTCGTAAATTTAGACTTCACTCTCGTAATGTTACTATTTTATTCTCGTAATGTTACTATTTTATTCTTGTAATGTTACTATTTTATTCTAGTAATATTATTAATTTATTCTCGTAAATTTAGACCCCATTCCCTTAATTTTACTGTTTTATTCTCGTAATATTGTTACTTTATTCTCGTAAATTTTACTTTATTCCCATAATGTTACTATTTTATTCTCGTAGTATTATTAATTTATTCTCGTAAATTTAGACTTTATTCCCGTAATGTTAGCATTTTATTCTCGTAATATTACGACTTTATTCTCGAATTTAAAACAAATCTCTTGCCTGGCCTGAATACTGTGGTAGGATCTGCAGAATAGCAGCAGCTCCGTCTTTCCTTGCCTGAGGTGGAAAACTGACATTAAACTGATTAGCACCATCTAAAGGGCCAGAGTAAGAAGTCAGTGACCTACTTCTGCTGAAGTCTAAGACATTTTGGAAATCGTGTTTTTATTAAGCTGTAATTATACTTCTTATGCAATTAATTGTCCTCCCCTAAGGTCCTGACTAGGCCACTCCATCACAGGACTAAGCTCTGATCTAACCTCCCATTAAAGCTCCGGCTGTATGTTGATGGTAAATCTCTGTCACTTTCTCAGTCTCTGCAGCATCAGAGCATTTTATCTAATGACCTCAGTGTTCATCTCCATCCATCACAGGAAAGCCTCCAAACAGCCTGATGGTCCGTCTCTCTCTACAGCGATGCTGCATTCAGGATCACTAGACGTTTTGTTTTACATGTTGGTCTAAATCTGATCAGATGAAACAGGCTTTTCAATCCAGGAGGCGGATCTCTGCAGCTGACAGAGGAAATGAGGCTAAAATCACATAAAAACAATTTTTAGATGATCAAATAAAATCCTGATTCCTAAAGTCTAAAGGGTATAAATGAGCTTCAGCAAATCCACTCAAATGTTACATCATTATCTGTTGCCTTTTCCAACCACCTGGGGGCAGCAGCCAGCTGTTCCTGAGGCCAGAAGATGGCCCCCACCCCTCTCCCTGACTGTGACCTGGATGTCTGGATCTAAGCTAAATATTTGGATGGATTTCTTGGTTCCTAAAGTGCTGCTGCTGGAAGGAGGACTGAGATTAGAGGCTTTCTGGAGGCGCTGCGGATCAGGATGAGTCGAACGGCTGCACTTTCAGCACCCGAGACATCTAAATAGAGACTTCACAATTTCATTTCACGCTAATCTGACAGAAATAACCCGGTGCAGCTCTGTGCTTCCACAGGAGGGAAAACGAGACGCAACTGTCACTCTTCTCTCAGTTATTCTGATTTCCAGCAGCTTCTGAATGTTCAGCCTCTTCTTTCTACAGCAGATTCCTTATTTTGTCTTTTAGATGCCAGAAAAAAATCACTACTTCACATTGAATCCTGTCATGAAGACAAATGTTGGAGGAATTTTATCTAATAGTCTGACGCAGTTGATGAACATATATCAGCCTGAGTTAATTGGGTAAATCAACCAACAAGAACACGATTTTTATTCTTGAGTCTTTTTCTCTCTAGTTTTCCTTATTTTAGTTCTACCGTCTTTCATTCGTAGGATTTGTCTAGAGTTAACTCTCCACCTGTGGTCACGCCTGTCGCTTTAATCCTGTTTTCCACTTCACCTGCTCAGGTGATCCCTGCCTTTGCTGTTTTATTTATTCCTGATAGTTTGCTTCCCACATTCCCGTGCTGCCCCTGCCAGCCTGTCTGCACTAGGTTTCATTAAAGAACTGCTAGCACTAACATAGACCTTATTCCTAAAGCCAATTACAGATGACATCACAGCTTTTATACATTGAGCTGCCAAGATATAAACATCTAAGTTTTCGCGAAAAGATATTAAATGCAGGGTGAATTCAATGTTTTAGGGAACAAACCAGCAATAAAATATTTCATCCCAGTCAATCTAACAATAATATAGGCAAACAGCTTGCCATAGGGCGGTTTAGAGACCAGAACCAGCCAGTGATGTTTGGCTGCAGACCTGCACAATGCTCTTTTATCTGAAACCTTCAGGAATAGCATGTCTCACGTATGTGCTGCTGGATTGCATTAGAAGGAGAGGACATTATTTATGTGATGTGAGAGCTGACTTAAATCTTTCCCTACTTTCCCCCACTTAAAGACCAATAAAAATGTGTTCTATCATAATTTTTGGGTGATTTTCTTTTACTTATTCCAACATTATAACAGTTTTTTTCTCATAGTAGCTTCATCTGGTCTGTTCCTGTTTGGCTGTGACTCCATCCTGGAGAGAAATATCAGCTGTGCTGCTGCCATCAACACCTTTGTTTCTAGATGTTGGAGCTTGGCCTGTTTTCCAGTGTGGTCCTGTTTCTCTGACTGTGACTAACTGGATGTGCTCTCTTCATCCTCTGACATGGGAGCTGGCTCGGAGCTCGTCTGCCTGGCTGTGTGTTTCCTAGACGGGGCCGCCTGTGGAGCTGGTTGACAGTTGCCTTTTGTATCTATGCGTCTTTTTCTATGTCTGCTTCTGTCTCCTTGAACCCCGGTCGGCCTCAGCAAATAAACTGAATTGAAATTAAAATTTTCTTTCTCTTACAAATCCATGTTTCAATGTGCCTCCCACATGCTATGAAATCTGCTGTTTCCACAACAAAAACACTGCGAATAAAAGACGATAAATAGAAATTATAAAGTTTGTTTTGAATCTACTGGGGAAAAAAACAGAAGTTATTGTCTATTGTGGTCATGTATCGAGGTATTCAGTAATTCACTGAGAGCAAGCAAAGCTAGTTAATTTGAAATCACACATCCTCCATTGGCAAATCTATGTGGTCCAACAGCAAAGGGAAGAACAACACAAACAATACTAAAAGAATAAAGAATATATGATATCATACTTGCAAACACACATTAATTCAATTCAGTTTATTTCTATAGCTCCAATTCACATCATGTCATCTCAGGTCACTTTACAGTTCATCCAGATCATCCAGTCAGATTGAGTCAAAGTTTTCTATCTAAGGAAAACCAGCTGATTGCATCGACTCATTGACTCTTCAGGAATCCCTCACACTAAGCATGCTTGTAGCGACAGTGGAGAGGAAAAACTCCCTTTGAACAGGAAGAAACCTCCAGCAGAACCAGGCTCAGTGTGAGTGGCCATCTGCTGAGGTGACATTAGAGATGTCTTTATAAAAGGAGTTAATTTGGTCATTTTTATATATTTTTGAAACTTATCCAGTTGAACTTATAATTTCGCAAAATATTTCTATTCTGAAGACCCAAGAAATAAACATGGGAACGTAAAATATTTCTGGTATACTAGCTTTTATTTTACTTGGCTTTTACTTTGAAAGGCTTCAAATAAACTTCCGGCTCTTCCAGCGCAGGAGAACCTCATAGTGCACGTCTGCAGCTAGACTCTCTTAGAACACAGCCTAAAGCCACAGTGGGGCTTCTTTATATCGGACTGGAAGGTGATGATTTATACCAAGGGATGTTTAAAAACAAGCCAAGGAAAAGATGTTTTTGCTCTTCTCCCGACTGGTTTCGGCAAGAGTAGCCTGGCTGTTAGTACGTCATATGCTTTGTTGATCTGATTGGTTTATTTGGCCCGTCTGTCACCAACATAGGCCAATCAGCTAACCAGTATTTTCGCCTCTTCCCAAAATTACTTCAACGGAAGGTTTCCAGATGGATATGCGGAGCAAATCGACGACGAAAACACAACCACAAGCCAGGCTACTCTTGCCGAAACCAGTCGGGAGAAGAGCGAAAACATCTTTTCCTCTGAGAAAAGCCTCCAGAGCAGTGTTTTGCTCTTCTTTCAGTGAAGAAATACTCTGTAATTCAGATAAAACTTGCTCGAAAGCCACGCTAACGCTAGTTTCATCGGCTAAAGCCGCCATGTTCTTTAGACTGAACTGTCGCGCTTCTCGTTGCGTCACACCTCAACCCGCCTCAAAGCCAACGCTGATTGGACGTTCGTTTGGTGAACGGCTCCAAATTTTCTTTAACGGAGAGTCTCCAGACTGATCTGCGAGTGAAACCTTGAAAGCTCGCGAGATCAGGATGGTCTCACGAGGCTAGTAGCTGCGTGCAACGATTGAAAATATTGCAGAGTGTATGCCCAGCTTTAAGTACTGAGAGGAGGTCATCATTGCTCTCAGTTTGCATATCGGTACCTTGAGCACGGTGATGTTCCAGGTGAAGCCCTCCACGGCCTTGTTCAGCTTCCGCCCCTTCAGTCCCTCTTTCTCACAGAGCCTGGACAGATCCTCATGGAGCTCCATTCCTGCCAAACGCAAAACAGAGAGGATGGAGTCGTCGTCATGACAAAAAAAAACCCACAGGCGTGTCAACAGCATGTCTTCACAGGTGTGTCATCAGCAAACAGCTAATGTTTCTGACATTTACACTGGTCCTCAAAGGTCAGCAGTGATCCAGCACACTGAGTGGGTTTGAAACTACACCAGGTGACGACTGATGGCTCCTCCTGCTGCTGGTTGGCTGGATTATCTCCTCACACTGGATTTACTAAACTTCTGACTTAAAGTGTTTTTCTGCTGGTCTGTTTGTGTCGCTGCGTGCAGCACTTCATTACCTTCTCTGTGCACCTGGTCGATCCTCTCCTGAACAACATCTGTGTTCTCGATCAGATGTTTCTGGGCAGTGATCATCTGTAAGGAATGATTTGGATGTTAGGTTAAGGATCTGGCTTTATGGGTCAACAGCAGAGGCGTAGCCAGAACATTTTTATAGAGGTTCCCAGGCAATAACCAATGAACACTGAGGGGCGGCCCAAAGCGGACAGGCGCCAGAACCTCTGGGTCAATCTACGCTGTTCCAACAGCAAAATTAACGAGAAAAACATCAATATTTTCTAAATAAAGACAAAGTATACTTTACTACAGCCTTTGCTAACAACCTTACGCATATATCTAAACATCAAGGGAAGGTCTGGGGTTAACATCTTTTCCATGGTCATTACTTACCTACTTTGATCAATAATCATTCTGCATAAAACGGATATTTATAAGTTCTATATCTACATAAACTGAATATTTTATATTTTTTTATTAAAACAGTTATTTATCTATTTCACTGAAGACTCCTAGACTCCTCTTTACCTCTTATAACACAAAATGAATTTCTTAAAATGGGACGAATTCTATACTTATCATCTTTAATGTTGATGTCAATAATTAACCACAAAAAATGTAAATGTTTTGATATTCCACTTCAGAGTATTACTGCTGCCGCCATCTGTATTGGAGGGAAAAAATGGTAGGGGTGGCCAATGATTGGCCCACTATTTAGCTCTGCCCCCGGTCAAAGTGATAATGATGGTTTGTAAAGCATCTGTGAAATACTTTTTTATTAAGCTGTTTCTTTGCTGAGAGAATGTGTGCAACACGTATGCGGAAGTTACGTCCCGTCCTCCATTCCCACCACTTTTTGGTGCTGCTTGAGTGGGAAATTGGCGGTGAGTTCAAATACATGGGCTGCGTCCTTTGAAGGATAGATTCGAAGGCCGATTAGGTCATAGCGCGGCGCCGAGGTCGCATAACGAGCCCGATTTGAAGGACGGTCCAGTGTATCCTATCTAGCCTCAGTTTTCCCAGGATTCTTTACAAATCAAACCAAACTGGCTGCTCCGTGATCAGGGGAAAAAGGGAAATGACGCCGATCAGTTGTGAATATTGGAAGTTCAGTTTAATATAATCCAGTCTTTGAATAGTTCCGTCTAAAATGAATGAAAATAGTTGTTTTAATGGTTATTATGTCGCAGATATGTGGCGGTAATGACTGATTTATCTAAAGTTTTTATCTGTTACTGTGTAAATGGGTTTGTCTTTAATTTAAGGACAGATTCTAATATATCTGCAGACTGGGGACTATAAATCTGATAGGATTTTTTTTTTTATTGCTATTTTGCACAATTTGCTTTACTAAGTATTTTTTGTTGTTGAATATGAGAGATTTTGCAGATACTGTATATTTTTTTGGAAACACATTGCTTTGATTTATTTATATCTTTCTATCCCTTTTATAGAATAGAACAGAAAATCCCTTCATTGTCCCACAATGAGGAAATTCTGGTGTTTTCAGCAGCAAAAAGAGTATTTAAAAAAATGGTCACACAAATATGGACCTTAGAAAAATGTAAATGTAAGAATAACACAATATTTTAATGGTTAAGAGATAAAAAAATAAAATACTTTACTGTAAAGTGTTTTAACAATATATAAAACTGTGCACCTGGAGAATATATAACAATATAAAGCAGTGGACAACTTCGTTGCCATATGAATGACTGCTTTCTCTGGCCAGAAGTTCGATGGCAAATCCTCCCTCTTCAAGTTGGCGATGAATTCTGATTCCTGATCCTCCCGTCCGTGGAGGATCAGGAATCAGAAAGGTGGAATAACTCTTTTTTTCACTTTTACCCGATGTATTCCAGCATCCAGCTGCCATGCACGTGGGCATTGTCAGTTTCACTATAGCTCTGGTGAATTTCAATGGTGAAGTCCTCTGGAAATCTTCAATAATTGTTGTTGATGCAGATGTGTCTAGTAGTTCACATTGATTTAGCTTGTAAAGCGGGGAGAATGGCGCTAGGCTTACCGCACCGTGACGTCACTGCTGGAAGATGGCAGGAGGGAGGGGCTACTATATTTGGGCCAAGATGGCTGCTCCCAGACTCAGTGATCACAATGAAAATTATCATTTTTTAAATTTTTCTACTTATTAACGCTAAATAAATTCATTAAATCACAGCGAACATATTAGTTTTAGGTAGAAATAATGACCTGTTGATCATTTCTTGCTGACTGGACTTTTCATTTAACGCTGATACTGGCACTTACAGTTTTTAGTTTATAAGCCTTAATATAATTGTTATTAACTCTTTAATTAGCTTTTATTCTTGACTTGTTAATTTATTTTTTTCAACTTAATTTCCAGTAGGTAATATATCCTTCAACGGCTCATCTAATTGGTCAAATGCCAAAATAAGATGTGCAGCCATGTAGCAGCATCTTTGATCAATGGCTGGATATAGATCTTGTGCTTATAGACCTCACTGAGGGACGGGGGGGGGGGGGGGGGGGGGGGGGGGGCTCCATTTGTGAGGGGTGTGCAAGGGATCAAAAATAGTAACTTGCCCTATTAAATTTTCAAGTTATCTTGAACAGACAAACATTACCTCCTTTGAAGAGGCTCTAAACTTCTAACCCAGAAGCACAAAAAACAACAGAGAGTCTGTGACGAGTCAACCTGTCTGTTTTGAGCTCAGAAAGGTGAGTCCAGGTGACACCAGCTGTTGCTTCCTGACACCAACCCGCTGGCTTCATATCCATCATATCCACTGTTCACCAAACAGTTTGCTGCTCAAGAAGAGGAGCGTTTGTTTTCTGCGGCGTGTGTAGGTGTAAATAACTGACAACAGGTGGGAGAGACACGGCTGATGCAGGAGATGGATGGAGGAGGTGCAGCTGGCAGCCACGCTGTGGAGGTGTGTGACAGGAAGTGAGTGGGTGACTGTTACATGCATGTCTGAGGACAGCGTTAATGCATGTAGACGTGCAAATAATAGACCGGGAACGATCAAAACGGAAACCTTTAAACGAGGAAATCAGAAGAACTGAGGGGAAGTCTGCAGAGGGATTTTAAAGTAAAACATTCACAATGAAAATGTGGTTAATTCAATTTGATTTCCTTCAAAAACAAAGCCAAGGCTGCCATTAGCTAAAGTGACTCCTTCTAATCAGACTCCTGCTGCAGCCAGAGAAACAACCACATCATCAGGAGAGCAACGGGCGATTAGAGGCTTTACTGGTTTGATTGGAATAAATGGCAGCCTGTGGAGCGCTTTACGTGTTTCCATCTATCCTCACGCCGCATTTCAGGCAAGTCTTAAAATGATGGTGTGAATTCTTCCTCTGTGAGTTGCTTATCAGTGTTTCCCTAATATTCATGTTATTCTTTATCATTTTCAGATGCAGAATAAAAGTAGAGGATTTCACTAATGCAACCAGGCCTGCTTTTTTACGGAGCGTGCCTTTATCCACGTTTCATTCACGCACTACACCCTGAAGTGTGCACCTGGTCAGGGTGCAGGTGAGGGCTCCAGTGTGTGTGTGTGTGTGTGGGGGGGGGGCTACAAGCATCCAAACATTGGAGGAAGGAGATAGGAAGTACTTCGGCCTCTACAGCAGCCGAGGCCTTGAACAGACAGAACCTGTAACTGTTTTAACAATCTTAATGCTAATGTTAGGTTTATCATTTATACATCATGTGCATTGTTATTCTGTTAGTCAGATTAGACAGAGTAGAAGGCCTTCCTTCACATTGTGGATGTCACTGTGTGTACGGAGATCATCTAATCAGGACAGCCTTCGTGTCTTTAAAAATACACAGGATATGGGAGCATCTTGGAGCCGGTCTGATAGAGGAGAGCTATCTGTAACCCTGAAGCATAGAAGCAAGCTGCATGGAGTTCAAGACATGGATGACGTGACAGTTTCTGATACGGACAGCTAAACATCAACATGATGCAACACATAGACTCATGAGCTATAAGAAGCAGGAGATGACCTTGTTTGGGGCTCAATCTTTGCCGGACACTCGCGGACGTGATTTTGAGCCCACAGCTGTGCAGCTCCAAGCATTTTCTCTGTCCTGTAACGACCTGATATGGAATAAACTCTGTTATTTTTTACTCCTGTTTTTATAGTCCTTTTTTATATGTTTTACCCAGTTTGAGTTAAAAGTAGTAAATAACTTGCTCCCAGGAAAAGGACCATGAGGAAGCCCCCGTGGCGCACCGGCTTTTTTAGGGGACATAACTTCCTCATTTTAACACTAAGATAATATTTTACACCTGCTACAAGAAAACATTTGGTTTCAGAAATGAATGGCAGTAAAATATGAGTCATTTTAAAGGAAAAGTCCTGTGTAGGTACCAGATCTACTCAGGCCCACATGGTTGCCAAGACAACGATAATCACATCCGTGATTATCGTCCGTGTGCCGAGTAGAGAGCATCTGTAGCGTTAGCGTGTCTAATGACCGATTATGTTTTACCGGATCGATAACAAAACTGAAAAAAAAAATTTGTTTCTGGTGAACAAAGTAACTGTTAGACCATAAAATAAAGAGCTGGGTAGCGCTGTGGCTAGCTGTGCTCAGTAGCTAACGGGTTAGCCTCTTTTAGCTTGCTCAGTTAGCCACATTAAGCTACACTACTTTTAAATTTGTGTCAACAACAACGGTTCGTTTTCTACAAGTAGAATAACTGTTTTATTTGAACAAAATCTTTACGAAAGTTATATTATAAGATCTCCCATTTGTCCTCCTCTGCCCTCAGATCTAAATAAAGAGTAAAAATAAGCTGAGACTTTTTTGTCGCCTTGTTAAATGGCAGAGCTCAGTCTGTCTTAGAACGCAGTACTTTCCTTCAAGACTAACGATGATTGCTTTCTACTTTTAGCTATTTTAGATCGCCAATGAAAGGTGAAATAATAGCAAATATTGGTAATAATATGTTGAAACTCCAAAAGAGATTTGATCCTTAAGAAACGGGTGGATTACAGTTTGTCTGAGTGGAGTTTATATATTGACGTCACAAGAAGGGGCGGGGCCCCGAGCAGATCTGGTACCTACACCGGTCATATTCAGAATTCAAACTTCTGAAAGTTCTTTAAATATGAAATGATTCCATCCTGTTCAATAAATGATCAGTGTTTTTAATTCAGAGTAATTTTCATGTGAATGTGCTTTACTGGAGGCATCCATGTTTGTCAAAGAACACTACTGCCACCTACTGGTTAGTGACGTCACGGTGCGGTATCGGCTGTTGATCAAGTCCCAGTGCTGTATCTGGTGTTTGTCACAACGCGCTATTATCCAAGTCATCTTGAAAACATTCTTCTTCCAAATGTCGGCTACATATTACGGGTTTTTTCTCTGGCCAGAAGTTCGATGGCAAATCCTCCCTCTTCAAGTTGGCGATCCAACGACCAACCCGTCCGTGGAGGATCAGGAATCAGAAAGGTGGAATAACTCTTTTTTTCCACTTTTACCCGATGTATTCCAGCATCCAGCTGCCATGCACGTGGGCATTGTCAGTTTCACTATAGCTCTGGTGAATTTCAATGGTGAAGTCCTCTGGAAATCTTCAATAATTGTTGTTGATTGCAGATGTGTATAGTAGTTCCCATTGATTTTGCTTGTGCATGTGCAAGAAGTAGTCCGGTTTATCCCTTTAGTTTATCCCCGTTTAACCTTTTAGTTTTGTACGAAAAATGCATTTTAATCTACCTCAACTGGCGTGTATCCCTTTAGTCCTGCACAATAAAACAAACATTTTAAGGTCAGCTCGCCATATGCTTCAAAAAACAGCAAAAAGTAAGTAATGAATAAAGGGATGCAGCCCGTTGAGGTAGTTTAAAGTGTATTTTTCTTACTAAATGGATAAACAGGTGTTGACTCTGGGGATGCTGGTCTGACAGATTACCATCATAGTCTTGATTTAGGTGGTTTGAGTTAATTAGCTGATTAGAGTGTGGGACCAGGGGCCATCAATTTTGAACCTTTTCACAATATTCTAATTTTCTGATATGATGAATTTGAGATTTTCATTTGTTGTCATTTGTAATCATCAAAATTAAACAAAATAAACCTCTGAAATATATGAGTTTGTATGTAATGTATGAATATAATATACAAGTTTCACTTTTTAAATGGAATTACTGAAATCAATCTACTTTTTCATGATATTCTAATTTTATGACCAGCACCTGTAGTTCCCGCCCTTTCCGGTTGAATTCTTCAAATGATATTTTTTTTTTGGGACTTGTAAAAGTGTTTTGAATGTTTTTTATTTGTTTTCTTAAAATGCTATTTGTTTTGAAATTTTAAATATGTTGTTTATTTTTTTTTATGTAAATTTGTTTTCTGAAATGATCATTTGTTTTGGAACTTGTAAACGTTTTTTAGATTTTGTAATGTTGGTTTGCACCTCCAGGCCACCATAGGTATGATTCCTTCTGCAGTCTTTATCCCACAGGATAAATATCTTATTTAACTAAACTTAATTCAGTTTTACTCAATCTAATTAATCCTTTTCAACAGTGTAGATGAAACGCTGCGGTGCTTCAAAGTGTAGCAACTGTAGAAAAGGTCAAAAGACTTTTCCGATCAAAGCTGCATGCTGTCGATCATGGCCTGGGGGGCAAAGATCCTGTCCTACATGATCACGCAAGTCGTACTTCCTACAAGCTTTTCTTTCTACTTAGATGCATCTTAGTTCACTGGACTTCAATGAGATGTTTTCTGTTTACATAAAGCTAGAAAAAAATCTTTATCTGGATAGAAAAATCCCACCGTTTGCAATGATTTCGGACATACTGACCGTGTCGTAGGCAGACAGCAGTTTACGAGTCGCCTCCGAGAGGCTGACCAGCGGCTCCAGACAGGGGTAGCCCTCCCTCAGCACCATGGCGGCCCCCATGGCTCCCTCGGGGCTCTGAAGTCTTGTAGCCAAGCTCTGGATGCACTGTTTCAGTTTGGCCACGGTGGGGAGCCCGCACTGATCCTTGAAGCTGGCCGTGGAGCACTGTAGGGGGAGAAGAAAGGAAGAACGTTGGAACTACGCTGGTTCCTGCAGCAGACGTCTGCATTCATCAGAAGAAGAGGCAGTTTGGCCAAAAGCTGGAGCAGAAAATCAAAAACTTGACATGTTCCCAGTCACATTCTGGGTCTGGCCCTGACCAGGGAAACGACTTCAGGTCTGGAATAGAAACTCTCTGCTCTGTGAGTGAACGCCTGCATTGACAGAAAGAGCTGCAGCTTGGTGGGCGAACGTCACAGCCCACCGTCATTGAACTGTGAAGCTGTGCAACAGCAAGAGAGGTGTCAGGGATGCTAAGTGATCCCGAGGTAGTGAAGGGAAAGGACTAGGAGGCAGAAGAAACAGTAATAAAAGCTTTTTTTAAAAGCCTTTCAAATGACACCCAGACCAGGCTGACCCTGGCTGGGCTCCTGACGGACCCTACATACAGATCTATAAATGCAGCTGAGCCACTGATGATCTGGTTTATTCCATCCCTGCTACAAATAACTCAAGGAGCTAAAGAAGCAATGCAACATTAACTCCCTCAATGATGCATGCAGTATCTATAGCCCTTCCTTTTCATTTTCATCCTTGTGACGGTTGGCATATGGTGTCATTTTCTATTTCTTCAAACTGTAAAATCCATGCAACAAACTAAATTATAATAAAACTAAAATGCGTTCTTTAAACCAAACTGCGATGTTCCTTTTGTATTTGGCGAATTTATGTTAGAATATTTTGCAAAAATATGTTGTGGTGCATGTAAAGGCTAATCATTCTAATGTGAATGAGCAATGCAAATATAATCCATTGCTTGCTAGCAGTGCTGTCTGGTCGTGTTAAACCGTGTGGATTAAAGTGGAATCTGGAATAAATTACAACTTGCAAAAAGTCCCGCGATCAAGACAACTTTAAGGTAAGCTGTTTTGTTTTTAATTTTGCGACATGTTGACATGGGCTCATAGGTATTGCTTAAGTAGGTTTCGGCTCATTTTCACTAAAAGGTGGGGTTCATTGTAACCTGATTCCCCCAGATGGATTTGCTCCGCATATCCATCTGGAAACCTTCCGTTGAAGTAATTTTGGGGAAGGGGCGAAAATACTGGTTACCTGATTGGCCTATGTTGGTGATAGACGGGTCAAATAAACCAATCAGATCAACAAAGCATATGACGTACTAACAGAGCGACGACGAAAACACAACCACAAGCCAGGCTACTCTTGCTGAAGCCAGTCGGGAGAAGAGCAAAAACATCTTTACAATGTGTTTTCGTATTGTGTTTCACATTTGAGACGCACGCATTTGACTGTGCGTCTATTTTTTCGCGGGGGTGGGCCGGTGTAGATGAAAAATGCCAGGGCCGAAAATCGTTCCCAGTCCGAGACACATCGTGTCTGTTCTGGACATAATTTTACATAAACTGCTGCTGAAACGTCTTCATTAAGTCTGGATGTGCAGGTTGGTTTTCACGCTCTCAGCAGACCCGGCGGCATGGGCGGGCATTGGGGGGCCGTGCCCGCCCAGGGAGGCGCCCGTGCCCGCCCTGGACTGGCAGCCTTCTTTTTTTTTTTCTCTTCCTTTAACTCAGCGTAGCCAGCTTTCTATTATTCCTCTCTCATTCTGTCAATCATACAATTCAACCAATCAAACCGACGACTAAAGACAACATCCAATCAAACAACAAAGGGGGCGGGAGTCGCGGGACACTGAGTCAAACATACTTCATGGTCGCACATGCTTTAAAGCTACAGTGTGTAATTTTCAGCGACATCTAGCGGTCAGACTGCAGACCGCCGTAACATGAACATCTCCCCCCCACCGCTTCTCCCCCCCAACAGTACGGCGAGCGTTACAGGACAAAATGTCTTCCACGACGTCCGCATCACCTACCTTCTCAAGTGATGAGGTTTGTTTACATAGATAATTTTAATACTGCCATCTATTGTTCAGTACCGTCTCAGTTCATCTCTCTCAACTTGCCGTAGTTACTTTCGAGCGTAATGGGCGATCTCGCAATCGCTAGTTTGTTGGCTCTGCGCTGCCGTAGCGCAAAGATGTCTGCCTCCATGGCTGCGAGACCCGCTCCTATGTAATTATAAATAACGTATTCTAAGGCAACGCAAATATTAAGGTTAAGAGGCTGAGCTCGTAGATGATGATAAATAACATAGTTATGTATAATATATTACATTTCTGACTGTATATCCCTGTAGTTATTACACACTGTAGCTTTAAATACGTCTGGTCACCAGCCAGTGCGCGAAATGTAAGCAAGACAGATAGCACTGAAGTAAAAAAACGCTTTTCCAATCAGTTTATTTTTAAATAAATCAAATGATGACAATAGAGTTTCAGGTGCAATATAGTCATTCCAGCATATATGTGATCTATGTGCCTGGACTGAGTCCAGCTTGAATTTACACAGAAAAGGTTAGCAAATACATCAGCTTTACATTTCCTAAAGCAAACCTATTTCAGTGCAAAGCTCATCTAAAAAGGGCTAATAAGATATATGAAAGTCTTAATGCTGTTTGTTTCCCAGTGTAAATATTAGGCTTGTCCCGATCCGATCCACGTATCGGATCGGACGCCGATATTGGAAAAAAAAATGCGTATCGGCAAAGCATGTAAAATGCCGATCCAGACTGCCGATCCAGTTTAAAAAAAAAAAAATCCGGTCCGTATTTTCCAGTTTCGCCGATTGAAACGATGCATTCCACTATTTTGCGCCACTGTTTCCCTGTTTTGGATTTTTATTAAAACTTACAGTAATAGTTGCACCTTTAACTGTTTACGGTTTTACTGTTCACTGTGCAATTTCAGATTGCTATTCATAATTTTGTCCAGTTTGTGTTTATCTCTTAATAAACAGGTAAGTTTGTTGTTACCAATCATTGTGTTTTATTCAATCTCACCTAATTCAGCTGGCTAGATGTTATCAAGAGTACTAAAACCCTTTTCAACATGAGTCTTACAACTAAGGCTAAATACTTTAACTTAAACTTAAATACATGCTCGGATAGGCTGGTATCGGCCAGTATCGGTATCGGATCGGAAGTCCAAAAACAATATCGGTATCGGATCGGAAGTCCAAAAACAATATCAGTATCGGATCGGAAGTGCAAAAACCTGGACATCTCTAGTAAATATTATATATTGCATGCTTTCTCTTTCTCCTGCAGGGTAATTTGTGCCTCTTAAAAAAAAAAAAAATGAAATGAGCTCAGAACATTTAAACCTGAATAATGCCCCTGACTGAATGATTTAAGCCCAAAGTTACACGTTACTGTGTTTTATGAGGTCAGATTTTATAACCCGCAGTCAATACTGCACTCAGATTTCTAAATAGTTCACTTTGAAAGACTCTGATTCAAACTAGGAGTTAACTTTTGAGTTATTTGAATGGCCACAGCAATACACTATTGTTTATTTTGTATATTTTGTGGATCTTTGACTATTTAATCTGGACCTAATTGTACCTAAAATTTTATCAATAACAATGTTCAATAAATGTTTTTCAACAAAATACAGATGTAACACGTATCCAGTTTCTGAATGATTGTAAAAAATCTTGTTTCTACCAGCAGCTGGGGGAGACATTAGAACATGGTTCAGAAAACCTGTCAGGACACATTTTTTTCTAACACTAAGAATCAAACAAATGCTGATTTCTAATTCAGCAAATTATTCTTAAAGGATTTTAAAATAATTTTAATAAATATTTTTATAAAGATTTTAGATTTATTTTACTGAATGAATGGTGACAAAGCTAGTGTTAAGCTTGAAGTAAAACAAATTTTTGCTGAAAAAGTGTGCCCCCCCCAAAAAATGGAATGCCCCCCCTTTAATTTCTTTCTGCAGCCGGGTCTGGCTCTCAGTGTTCTACTCTCACTATGGGTCTCAGTTTTTTTACACTCTTCCCATAACAAAGTAATTCAAGAGAAATAAAATAACAAAAACTTCATTCTTATATCCAAATGAAGCTTAAAGGCTCAGCTAATCAAATAATTAACGTATAAATCAGCATTTTATTCAATTCAAATTGTAATTCCTACTAAATAAAAAAGCTCCACCATTGAAAACCAAACCTGTACATGTCACCAGAGCTGAGAAAATCCCATCCCCCAGAAGTGAGTAAACTCCGCCCCTAGAGGTGAGTAAACTCCGCCCCCAGAGGTGAGTTCAACTGTGTTGGTCAGAGGCAGCAGGATGAAGCCTGGGTACAGATGATCAGTCATGAAAAGACCTACTTTGTTTACTTTTCTTTTTATTCATTTGCTACGTTCTTCCAATAATTATCTATTTTAGAGAAAGAAATTGAAAGAAATTTGTTTTGTTTTTTTCTTTTTGAATGTATGAAATCCAGACAGAGAATTCTGCAGAGCCCTTGTTTCTATCCAGATACAGAAATAAGAATTTCTCTGACATGAACGCTCTGCTTTGTGTCTAATTGTACACAAGGTCGATGACCCTCAGGTTGGAGAGCTGCGTTGCTGCAGAACTCTATCCTTTTATGTTCCTTTCAGAGAAAAGAAAAATAGTCTTTGCAGAAAAAGGCCGACCGTCTCACAGCTGCAGTTTAGGGACCGACAGACCGCATCCTCCCTGCTGAGTCAGGACAGGCGGTGTGATCCAGAAGTGATTTGAATCGGTATAGAGACCTGGATCTGGGTTGGCTCTGGGATTTAGACGAGCGGACTCTGACCATTCCGGACCATTAGTCCAACCCGACAGCTTTGCATCATTCTGGGGCCAAACATGTACAGTATTTTTTTGTATATATATGCATATATGCACCTCTGCACAAGAGCACAGGTTACGGTTAAACCCATGCAGTATATTAAAAGAGTAAGAACAGTAGGAAGAGGTGCAACTCGTCTTCCCACCTTGCCCAACAGTACATGTTAGCTTTCAGTGATAAACCAGTGGGAGCTGCAAGGCCAGCCTTCACTCCTACTAGTATTTATAGATGTTTTATTGTTTCTCTGCCTATTTCTCCTCCTCCCCCTCCTTTCTTCTTCCCTCTGAATCACCCTGAACACCTTGCAG